GAAATTCTGGAATTCCATCTGTAAATGCAGGAATTTCTATTGTAGGAATCCCACCTGGGATTGAAAAAATTCCATGTGGAACTGCAGGAATTCCATCTGGAAATGCAGGAATTCCAGTTGCAGGAATTCCACCTAGGATTGCAGGAATTCTGTCTGGAATTTCAGGAATTCCACCTGGAACTGCAGGAATTTCTATTGTAGGAATTCCACCTGGAATTTAAAGAATTCCATGTGGAACTGCAGGAATTCCACCTGGGATTGCAGGAATTGCATCTAAAACTACAGGAATTTCACCTGGAACTGCAAGAATTTCCTCTGGAAATTCTGGAATTCCGTCTGTAAATGCAGGAATTCCATCTGGAACTTCAGGAATTCCGTCTGGAATTGCAGGAATTCCAGTTGCAGGAATTGCATCTAAAACTGCAGGAATTCCAGCTGGAACTGCAGGAATTCCCTCTGGAAATTCGGGAATTCCATCTGTAAATGCAGGAATTTCTGTTGCAGAAATTCCACCTGGAATTTAAAAAATTCCATGTGGAACTGCAGGCATTCTGTCTGGAATTTCAGGAATTCCATCTGGAAATTCTGGAATTCCAGTTGCAGGAATTCCATTTGGAACTGCAGAAATTCCCTCTGGAAATTCTGGAATTCCATCTGTAAATGCAGGAATTTCTGTTGTAGGAATCCCACCTGGAATTTAAAGAATTCCATGTGGAACTGCAGGAAATCTATCTGGAAATTCTGGAATTCCAGTTGAAAGAATTCCAGCTGGAACTGCAGGAATTCCCTCTGGAAATTCGGGAATTCCACCTGGACCTGCAGGAATTTCTATTGTATGAATTCCAGCTGGAACTGCAGGAATTTCTATTGTAGGAATTCCAGCTGGAACTTTCTAGAATTCCACCTGGAACTGCAGGAATTCCAGTTGCAGGAATTCCAGTTGCAGGAATTCCCTCTGGAAATTCTGGAATTCCATCTGTAAATGCAGAAATTTCTGTTGCAGAAACTCCACCTGGAATTTAAAGAATTCCATGTGGAACTGCAGGAATTAATTCAGGAATTCCACCTGGAAGTGCAGGAATTCCTGCAGGAATTCCAGCTGGAAGTGCAGGAATTAGATCCAGGATTGCAGGAATTGCACGTGGAACTGCAGGAATTCCACTTGCAGGAGTTCCACCTGGAACTGAAGGAATTCCTGCAGGAATGGCACCTGGAATTTCAGGAATTCCAGTTTGAACTGTAGGAATTGGATCCAGGATTGCAGGAATTCCCTCTTGAAATTCTGGAATTCCACCTGGAACTGCGGGAATTTCTATTGTAGGAATTCCACCTGGAACTTTCTAGAATTCCAGCTGGAACTGCGGGAATTTCTATTGTAGGAATTCCGCCTGGAATTGAAAGAATTCCAGCTGGAACTGCAGGAATTCCCTCTGGAAATTCAGGAATTTCAGAGCCAGCTGTCTGTCTGTCCCAGCAGAGCTGTCTGTCTGTCTGTCTGTCTGTCTGTCCCAGCAGGGCTGTCTGTCTGTCTGTCTGTCTGTCTGTCCCAGCAGGGCTGTCTGTCTGTCTGTCTGTCCCAGCAGGGCTGTCTGTCTGTCCCGGCAGAGCTGTCTGTCTGTCTGTCCCGGCAGATCCGTCTGTCTGTCTGTCTGTCCCAGCAGGGCTGTCTGTCTGTCCCAGCAGATCTGTCTGTCTGTCTGTCCCGGCAGATCCGTCTGTCTGTCTGTCTGTCCCAGCAGGGCTGTCTGTCTGTCCCAGCAGGGCNAAATTGTTATTTTATGTTAAATAAAAATTAATATATATTATATATTCATGGGATTACACCCCACTAAGAGGGGTAGGATTAAATTTTATTAATCTGGTTTTTTCATGTTATATCTGTGTAAAACATGGAGAAAAATGTTTACATTTTTTAATTTATATTATATATCATTTCTTCTATTTACACTTTACATTTTTATATTTATATTATCTATAAATTGTTATTTTATGGTAAATAAAAATTAATATATATATTTACTAATATATATTATATTTATGGGATTACACCCCACTAGGAGGGGTAGGATTAAATTTTATTAATCTGTTTTTTTCATGTTATATCTGTGTAAAACATGGAGAAAAACCCAGGAATTCTCTTTTTTCCACATCAGGGACCGAAATTCCTCCAAATCCCCCCCAGGGAATTGCCGGGAGCAGAAAGGAGCAGCGAGGGAGAGGAGGAGGAGCCGGGATGAGCCCGAGGGGGCGGAAATGCAGGAAAAGGTACGGCCGGAACCTTCTGGAATTCCATCGGGAATTGTGGGAATTCCACCTGGAATTTAAAGAACTCCATGTGGAACTGCAGGAATTCTGTCTGGAATTTCAGGAATTCCATCTGGATTTGCAGGAATTCCACTTGCAGGAATTCCATTTGGAACTGCAGGAATTTCCTCTGGAAATTCTGGAATTCCATCTGTAAATGCAGGAATTTCACCTGGAATTGCAGGAATTCC